TCAGGTAGCAGCGAAGCAGCTCAACTGTCCAGTGGGATACGTGTCGATGGTGGGAGAGGACACGCTCCACGCTGTGGGGACGTTCCCTCAACGCCCACCGGAGATGAACATGGCTCCTCGTACTGAGAACATGTGCGCGCACACGATCTACGCTGACAAACCGCTGGTCGTCAAGAACCCGCAGCGTGATATGCGTTTCGCACAGATGGCTATTATCAAGGACGCAGGCGTGAAATTCTACGCGGGATTCCCGATCCGAGCGCCCGACGGGGCCATTGTTGCGTCATTGTGTACGTCCGACTTCAAACCGCACGACAACATTTCCACTAAGGAATACGCGACAATGGAGACGTTAGCCAAACTCGCAGGAAAACTCGTTGCACCGCGACAGCTTGCAGCCCCAGCACATTAACGGTATACACTCAAAGGAGATTAATGAACGATCTTTTCGATACTCACACATTATTAGCTTTTCAACATATCTTAGAAGATATTTAAGTTGAAGTGGGTTAAAATACGAGATTTGATTGGTTGGATAATTTCATGGCTACATTTTCTGTTACTTTTCATTGAATACAGTACAGCTACGCAGATTATCAAGTTTGATTGGCTGGAGTTTTCGGACCAAACTAAAATTTAAGCTGAAGTGAATTGATAAACGCGATCTGATTGGTCGATACAAGAAACTAATGAATCTTTTTTCAATTCCGAACCACTGTTAATAACGTTACGTAAAGGAACAACAACCTACTAAAATGTTTTGTGCAACTCTGCCTTCTTCTTTATTTTTTATTTTTATTTTTATTTTTTTTTGGGGGGGGAGGAGTTCAACGTCTTGCATAATTCATTATGTAGATCCAAGTTTCTAGGCGTTGACACTTATCCTTTCTTAGCTGCTCTTTTCCCTGCTGCCGTTTTCGTTTCCACAAACAACTTAAAAAATTGAAAGTCTCGGTGTCCTGTCAGTTCGGCTCCTTTCAGTAGCTTAATAAAACGGCCTTGTGTAGTTAGACCCAGAAGAACTTGTGCATAGTCGTCCTTTATGCCTGCGTTGGCCATAATGAGCGCTCTGGCCGACATCTCGGCGTCTGAAGCCCCTCTTTCGACCAGCACGCGATCGGGCTGATAACCGTTATCCAGCTTCGAGATTACAGCATTGTTGAAGTGTTTCACGTATCGAGAGTATACCCTGAAGGCATCAGTATTTCGTACGCTGTGTAGCTGGCTACTCTCAGTGATTTTGTCCAGATTGAGGGTCTTCCAGACTTGGAACGTCGAAACGTCTTTCTGAAGCCATTTTATGATCTTATACCACTCAGTTTTGTCGACATAGTACGCATAGTACTTGTTGCTTTTGACAGCTGCCTCGTCGAGATTAGTAAGCTTTAATGCCTTCCTGACGTAGCCATCGGATGCCCCGGTCTCCGCCCACCATAATGCCTTCGCGTAGCTCCAAAGACCCCTTTCCGCTGA